ATTGTGATATCCGATCTAATATTCTGACATAGTGTGATCGTTGTGTGCTTGTGATATACGATCTAACATTCTGACACAGTTTGATCGTTGTGTGATTGTGATATACGATCTAGTGTTCTGACACAATGTGATCGTTGTGTGATTGTTATATACGATCTAACATTCTGACATAGTGTGATCGTTGTGTGATTGTGATATACGATCTTTTATTCTGACACATTGTGATCGTTGTGTGATTGTGATATACGATCTAGTATTCTGACACAATGTGATCGTTGTGTGATTGTGATATACGATCTAATATTCTGACACAGTGTGATCGTTGTATGATTGTGATTTACGATCTTATATTCTGACACAGTGTGATTGTTGTGTGATTGTGATATACGATCTAGTATTCTGACACAGTTTGATCGTTGTGTGATTGTGATATACGATCTAATATTCTGACACAGTGTGATTGTTGTATGATTGTGATATACGATCTAATATTCTGACACAGTGTGATCGTTGTGTGATTGTGTTATACGATCTAATATTCTGACACAGTGTGACCGTTGTGTGATTGTGATATACGATCTAATATTCTGACACAGTGTGATCGTTGTGTGATTGTGATATACGATCTAGTATTCTGACACAGTGTGATCGTTGGCCGGTTAATGGTTATCCTATTGCATTTAAGGAAAGTTAAATGATTCCCCGTTAAATATATAGCATATGTGTCTCTTCTCAATTTGAGAGAACCTTTGAGATCCCCCAAAACAGGCCTAACAACTGAAAGTGTATGTTTATATAACAATTAAGTTGCACCCAAACAATAATGTTAAAAATAATGTTTAAATGCCAAAACAGTACTCTAATATTACTTCTAAATCTTCCACGTGTTATCAAATCTAAATAAAAGCTCAACAACAGGTAACATTCACCTGGACTGTTCCGACTCTGCCAACCCTCACTATGGCTGTAGTTACTGTACCCAGCAGTGGACAGTGTGTATGGTACACATTCACGTAGTATTGTATCGCTCACAAAATATGCAAAATAACCTACACAGTGATGTTAATGATATCGGAATATCTACAAATATGTCGGAAATTAAATTGGAATGTCCAATTTGTCAGATTGCCTTAATAACAGTTTTCTCGGGTGAAAATGACATATCAACACTTACACGGAGAACATGTGTTCTCTTATCTATGGACCTGTCATCACCCTGGATCGAATTGCAGAAAACGACAAGACCTATTAATATTAGTCGATAATGACTCTCTTGAAGACGGGCCGTTAGTAAGACCTGTATGATGTAGTGTTGTATAGGAAAGCCAGGAACATTACAACTCAAACTAAATGCAACGAATATATGAATGAACATTTGATGCTAAGAGACCATGTATCCCCTCCATCAGAAAGAACATATGATTTATCATAGCATACAATTTCTAAAAAGCCGAACAGAAAAAATATTCTTGAAGAGTTACGTGAGTATGGAAATACAAAAACAACCTATTCATTTAAATATTTGATGATATTTGAGTCGATTTTGAATTGATCATTTGACATCAATTTTTTGTTACAGTCTGATGCAGGGACACATCTTTCTACATTCGTCGATGTTTGATAACCTGTACGTACTCTTCACAAGGGGTACCACATCAACCACTGTACTCAGCACCAGGGGTACCACATCCACCACTGTACTCTTCACAAGGAGTACCACATCCACCACTGTACTCTTCACAAGGGGTACCACATCCACCACTGTACTCTTCACAAGGGGTACCACATCCACCACTGTACTCAGCACAAGGGGTACCACATCCATCACTGTACTCTTCACAAGGGTTACCACATCCACCACTGTACTCTTCACAAGGGGTACCACAGTCACCACTGTACTCAGCACAAGGGGTACCACAGCCACCACTGTACTCAGCACCAGGGGTACCACAGACACCACTGTACTCTTCACAAGGGGTACCACATCCACCACTGTACTCTTCACAAGGGGTAACACAGCCACCACTGTACTCAGCACAAAGGGTACCACATCCATCACTGTACTCTTCACAAGGGTTACCACATCCACCACTGTACTTTTCACAAGGGGTACCACAGTACTCTGTACTCAGCACCAGGGGTACCACAGCCACCACTGTACTCAGCACCAGGAGTACCACAGCCACCACTGTACTCTTCACAAGGGATACCACATTCACCACTGTACTCTTCACAAGGGGTACCACAGCCACCACTGTACTTAGCACAGGGGGTACCACAGCCACCACTGTACTAAGCACAAGGGGTACCACATCCACCACTGTACTCTGCACTAGGGAAATTATATCTGTTTTGTTTTGTTTCCACCTAAGGTAACTTAAAAGTGCTTATATGAAATCTGTCTTTGATGAAGATTTCTTGTTTCAAGTCTAGTTTATTTGATTTTATTTTCTAAGGTCCTCCATGTGTGTAGTGTATGCGTGTTTGTGTGTGTATGTGCAGGAGACAGGGTATGTTGGTGTGATTGTCGCCTTTTGATAGTGCGGAATGATGCCGACTTTATAGTGCTATCTCACTGAAATGCCATGCCGAAGACACCCAGCACAGCATTCCGCCCGGTCATATTATACTGACATTGGGTGAACCAGTTGTTGCCATTCCCTTAAATGCTGAACGTTAAGCAGGGAATAACAACTACCGGTTGCCAGTTTAATTATCATTATGAAATCATGACTAAATATGTATATAATCGCAAATCTATAAGGCCATGAAGATAATATATGTCTGATATAATTATTTTCATAGACTGTTTCACCTCCATGTCAACTTTCTGTTAAATCGACGTACTTTCTGTATCTGACAGGGGTATCATGACGGTTACCACATGTGGTGCAGCAGCCACACTCCTGTCCGGGGTCTATGGTTTAATTGTGATATTTTTGTGAGATTAACATGTCTTTCTATTTATTTTTGTGTCGTCAAGGATCTGCTGTTGTCATATCATATCGACTTTAAGAAGTTTGTCCTTGTGTGTTGACGTTATTTTCTTCATGTTTCAAGAAACATGGAAGTGGGCACAAAATTGATTATAAGTTATATTTGGTGCAGAAACATCATATGTTTCTTTTGGCTTCCTGCATCTGCAATGATTTAAATCAGGTGCTTCATTTCTCTGTATGTGTAGTGATTATTATATATATACAGATATCTCTAGAATAAAAGAAAGGATTGAGTAAAATTAAAACAACGAAAAATATTTGCAATGGATAGGGACTTTAAACACTTACTGTATACATTTTGGAGTTAGCTTATAATTAGTATGTCATATGTTTCGTATTTATGTGGAAAAAAGAAAAGTCACGCGTGTTGAAATGATGAACCGAAAATCTGGTATGTACATGTAGTGTTACCTGATAAGCAATGTGCACGATCATATTAAATTTGGATTCACGTTCAAAAAATTACCGATACGACAAAGCGCATGTCTGTAGAGACTCATTTGCTTAATTTATACTGACTCATTTCCGTCATGTTTTCGACTTTTGTTACATACCTATTTATTACCGTTGCGGATGTCTTGTATGAAAATGGCACATGTCCACAGTATGGAAAGATTTAATTGCGTCACACTTTTAGGCGATCTGATTATGATTTACTTATTCTCTAGAAGCTTAAATAAAAAATATCGGAGACACTCTATCAGGTTCAAATAATAAGTTAACATACAGCTTATTTTTAAACAAAAGTTATCATTGAACCGAACCAAAAAGCGTGGCTTCTCTAGTTACACAATCAGTTAGCTTCCTTTTCTCAGCAGTAACATACCATCCCTCTCTCCTGCTAGAGTTCACATATATCAATCGCTATTCAAGAGCAGAATCGTCCTGTCAACAAAGAAACCATTTCTTTCAAAAAGTCTTCAATTTGCATTGAACCTTTTCTGTCATAATCACATTGCTTTTTACAATGATATTTCATTGTTCAAGCGTTTTACATCACTAGTGACTAAAATCCTTTTCTGGATTTGAGGTCAATAAGGTATTACATGTGGTGCGGTAAACATCATTCGTGGACAGTTACAGTAAGATTACGGTACAATTTACCGTTAAGATCTGTGAACATGGCTCATGCTGATGTTTGTTCGTATCAGACTTAGGTTTTGTATTGTCGTTGCGTGATGACGCTGTGGTATATTTTGTTTACTTGAATATGTTTTTGAATTAAGGAAACATATATTGTATTTATGATTCAAGGTTAAAGACATATTGATAATCGATATTTATTGTTTTGAGGTAAAAAACACAACTGTTTACCTGCTAAATTTGAGTTCCTACAGGTAAGGCGTAAGAATTGTACATGCTGCCCCCATTGCATGATTGTAAGAGGCGACTAAATTTGGGATCTTATATTTTCTCTTCTTTCGAAACAATTTTCTTCTTTCTAATGTCTCCCTTGGCAATGCCTCACTTTTGGCCTTAAGTTGAGCATTCGCCCCTGTGAGGCAGACTTTGGGTTCTGTCCCCTGGCCAAGACATACCAGAGTCTGTAAAAATGATAGTTTCTAATCCTGATTAACGCTCAGCAATTTAGGAATGGGACGAGTGGTTCGCCCGTTGTCAGTATAATGTGACCGGGTGAGGTGTCCTGTTGGGTGTCTACAGCAGTATATTTTAGTGAGGTAGCACTATAAAGTCGGCATCAGTTCCGCACTATCACAAGGAGACAGACACTAACATATCGCAACCTCCCAAAACACACGCATACAATACACGCATGCATCTTGCACACATGGAAGGCCGTCCTTAAATGACCATAGCTGTGTATAGGTCGTTAAACAATCCTAAACCAAACCTCTTATTGTGATGCCTTAAATCAATCAAGTGATGATCGTTATATTTGTTATTGATCCCCGATGTCACATGTTTTCGATTTCTGAAATGTTATTTAATTGAAATTCCATTCCTGTAAAAATGAAGAATAAACTCAAAATAATATGTTAACATTTTAATATTGTTCTAATACAGTTGTACAAACAATTCTCCGATACATTTGTATAAATTATAGTCACAATTATGTATACCATACTAAAATCGTAAAACAATGCTTCAAGTTATCATACATACATTGTTCATTCATACACGTACATGTAAATATGTTTCGCTTTCTTCCAATATGGGGATAAAAACATAATTGTAACAAACATCTCAAAAGTTAAGAAAATTGAAGCATTTTCCAATTGAGAAATTTTAAAAGTTAAGACTTGTTACAAGAAGAATCCAGAAACAGACCACTGTTTGTTTCGACTTATTTAAATCTTCATGCAAAAATGCTGCATATATACAATAAAATATCCTTTCATATCAAATGCAAAAGCGTCCAACACACACATCGACCCCTATCACTTACCTATCCTTCTATAGGAACATATATGATATATATCATTTTTCGCGATAATGCGGCAAATCACTGTCGGTTCAGCGCGCGTCATCGTCAACTTTCAGAAATAGAAATGTCATATATTTAATACAAATAAATATATTGTAAAACCAGGACATACATTGCGATAAAGACAGATACATTGGTACACAGATTCCAATGTGTGTGGTTGTAAATCCATAGATGTACGTCAGATATATGGACTCATTTTGCTTCCGTAGCTTAATAACTATCACATGACGTCAGTGCTTGTATTACATAAATGATTGCCTTTCAGTATGGAGGCGACAGTACTCTCTCTACAGGACGTTGTGAGGACCGAATTGTTCATTTTTTTACATAATTTACTAGTCTAATCATTTGTTTGTCATTTAGTTTCTCTCATAAACCGCAAATTAACGTTTTGATATCCTCCAACGTAAGGTTATATCACAATAGAGACCATATGACTCTACCCATGTAACCTTACACAAAACCTTCCGTGCAATATAGCATGAATAAGTTATATCGAAACTTGCCCTCCCATGCTTGCTCGACTTGCTTTAATGAATTGCAGGTTTTCCCTAATATAGTAAAGGTAAACTCTCCTATTTCAGTGTCATTTACATTTACAGTTCCTTACAATCATTGAGTTTGCACTTACTGAACCCATGCTCCACGTGGTCACTTAAACTTAGATGACCTTTGACCTAATCACCTTCATCGTCACACTCAGTAGACACACACATCACACAAACCGAGGCTTGCCTCTGTGATTTCGATCAGTGTCTGAAAATGTGCATTTGATACGCGCAGTATATAGTTGTATAAATAGTGGCTAGTTCGTTAGATTGTTTATTTATTTCTACGCGTATATTTGCTGACATGGTCGACTTGTATACACCACTTAGGTGGTGTTTCTTTCACCAGGATCACAGACTCATCTTTCACCATTTCTTTCTAAATGGCAGCCACCATTTCATATGTATTGTCCATCAATCCACATTGAGTTCCTCAGAAACAAACCGATACTATGATACTCCCATCTGGTCTCGACACACATCGTAAATTTATGAACATATCAGATGCGTTGTTTTTGATTAACCACAAAAACTATAAAATAAATTTCAAGATGGTGGCATGTCACAAACAGAATTTCTTTGTGTGTCGTCCATTTCGGTCTGTGATACACTAGTGGAAGTTATATTAGGGGCCATTATTGGCTTCAGTTGTCCGTCCACTTTGTCTTTCACTAACTTTGTACCTTTTACACGTTTCCATTTCATCCGCCTGTTTTGGAACCACACTTTTACCTGAAAAAACCCCAAAGAAAACATCTCAGAATACAAACACACAGTATATATTTATATTTATATAGTTCTGTTACTTGAGTTAGAATCCAGCAGGAAAAGAAGGTGACATTATTCAAAAAGATAGTATGGAATCGAAGGATATTTTGTTTAATTTGAGACTGAAAGCAATATTACTGTTCCCAACCTGTAGCAGCCGCTTACCCATTGTTATGCGTATTGCAGTTCATAAATGTAAAGGAAAGACTTGATCTGACCTTTAGCGGTTGTGCTTTCTTTAACATGATATAATCGAATTACTATTGTGCTGCCTTCCTAGGCATATCTGTTTGATATCGTGTTGATAACATAACGCAGTATTTCATTTGAGAGGACGTTTCTGTTTGTTAAACAGTATGATGATCTATAACGATAATTACCTTATATATTTAATTTATTATATGTAGATTTTACAAAACAGTTAAACGTGTGACAGGGTGTAATAATTTACCAATCCTAAAGGACTCTCTCGATATAAGGGGCTGAATGTTGAAGAATGTATCTTCAGTTCAATCAGCTAAAGGTGATTTGATTGATACAGTTTGTACTTCTTTTAATAAAATCGTTTTACTGTTTGGTTTTTGTAGAGCAATACCGTCAATATGGAAGAAATTGTCGATGCGTTTTATTTTACACGATATCGATATCCCATGTTGTATTTCAGAGGTCAAATGAAAGTATTAATAAGGCTGTCTTAACAGAAGTGTAATGTGCAGATTAAGCTTCAGTTGTTAAGTTTCACATCATTCAATCAAAGTTAATCATGTGGCACCTGTTTAGAAAATACCATTATATTACTGTTAAAATATGCCTAAATCTTATATGAAACAGAATGAGAATATTTTAATGACAAAATCTAATTAATTAAAATAAATATTTAGATACATTATGGAATTATGTCACACGATATCACGAGAAATTAGATCCCGGCATACTGGATGAGGTCTTTCAAGACAACTTTAGATATTCCCCTTAATTATAAATTTGTAAAACAAAAGAAGTTCAAACTGTTTTCTATTCGTGATTACCAGAACATGTACATGAATTATTGAGCAAAAGTCAGAATTTGAAGTTCGATCTTAAACCCCCCTTAAGCTGTTGAAGATGGATTGCTATACGGGGCATATTGACATTATGGCATGTTCTCCGTTGCTTCCATTGCCATTAAGAGCGCGTGTATTTGATTAGTCAAATATTATTGGATAATCAAAGATCCATTAATATTGGCTATTTACTTACCCTGTTTAAAAAAGCATAGACTCGTTTGTGTTTGACCAACCATTTATGGTCTCTAGACATTCGATAACTGATTATATCATAACGTGTTCACTGCATTGAGAATCATTTGGGGACTTATCAATTGCGCAACAAAACAAATATTATTTTATCAACTTCAAGTCGAAATTTACGTCAAACCAGACGATGAGTTTGCTGTCACTCGAGTCATTTAATTGTTAACTCATATTCATGCCTTCAAACAAATTCTTACTGATGATCTCTCGAAAATTAGCGGCCCACCACTTGCCGATTCTAAATCAATGACTTCGAGACATTCTTGTCAGATTTGCAATAAGATCGCGAGAATTAGACCTTTGGGTTGGTTGCCTTTTCTTTAATTGACGTAACATTGTAACGTAAAGTATTGGAATTGAGATAAAGAGCTCGTTTAGTTGCTACGTTACCTGTCTCTCCGTAAGGTCCAGGGCCACGGCGATCTCGTAGCGCCGTAACCGCGTCAGATAATTGTGGACACAGAACTCCTTCTCTAATTCCCGGATCTGATGTTTTGTGAACGCCGTCCTCTCCTTTCTGGGCTTTACCGATAAATCTAGCTTATAAGGGTCGCTGTTGTCTGTAAAGAATGAANACCCCCCCCCCCCCCCATTCCCTCCCTAGGCAGAACCTTTCTTTTCCTCGCGCTGAGAGGATCTTACATTCAACCTTGTAGGACATTATACCTGTCCCTTGATAGACCTTACCCACATATTTTGCTGAAGTAACTAACACCCTGACCAATTACTGTTGGAATATATCATTGTGTGGAATAGAAATACTTAACAACTCAAGATGACCCTGAAGCGGTGTTTTTTAAAAATAGTTCATTTTTCGTTCAACTGAAGGATCCCTGTCCAACTGCACTGTGTAGTTTTCGTGCATATAGTCACCTCCCAGTCATTTAGTTATGGACATAACTGAAGGACAGCTGGCCAAGGAAGGACGTTGTCGTTGACCAGGCAGCTCAGTTGGTAAGAGCGATAGCATAACAATCTGAAGTCCAGGGTTCCATTTCCATAATGTCAATATGCCCCATTCTAATCCCCGCTAAATTTGCACACTCAGAACAGTTTTTGATTATACTTTGTTTACCTCATCTTTATCATTTTTGTTATAAAAATGCCGTAAGATATGGTTTTCTTTTCAGAAATCATTTATCAAAGCAATAGTCTTACAACAACAACAACAACAAAAACCAAAAAAACATTTCGGATATGTAGTCATAGTTTTGGCAGTAGTACAAGACTCCTTAAGAGAACAATCGAGTGGTGATACTTAACAGAGCGTACAATTAAGACAAACTTTAAAAGGTGATAAAGAAATGCTAAGCAGGATAAGTACAACTCCAGAAAGCTTTGCAATGGAGACATATAACATCGATATAAATACAATGATATGGAAAATATCAGTTATGTAAGCGATGCAAACATTTTTTTCAGTAAAAAACATCAGGGCCTAGACATGTTGGAGAATCATCTACCTCAGATATCGGTCGCCAGAAGTCTACATCAAACTCCCAAAACAAAACACACACCAGACACATCATTGACGGCATATGACACGCTTCACTGAAGATGCTGATATAGTGGAATACATTTCTACACGAGATTACTCATATTTTTAGTATAATACACATAAAATCAACAAGCATGTTTTGATAAGAATTCAGTTATATTTGTGTAGCTAAAAACAAATAATCCTCGAGTTTATCAGGGAGTGGGTTAGGTATAAATTCAATTATCTGTTTGGGACGTTTCTTCTGGGCGTTTGATATGGCCTGCTGCTGGTATTGATGTGTACACATGTATGTGATCATGTTGATTGGTGCAATATGTATGGTACATGACTGATGTTTCAGCCTAACCAATAGACAAAACAGCTCTATAAGTATAATAGAAAATAGCATCATTTCGTTAATTACACATATACTTATCAATTATGGACTTTAGTTGAGGTGAATATGTGGATATTAATGGGAGAAAGTGATATTGACCTATTGGAAGTAGAGGTCAGTGTAACTTTGTCATGTTCATATAGCCACATAGTCAACGACATAAACGTTGTATTGTTATATTAGACATTATAACTGATAGTGTTTGTCATTTTGACTAAATAGAACGCGTGACAACTGTAAGGAGAAGCGTACTGCATTTGACAGAGAGTATTGTGACATTACACTGGAGGTGACATTATATATACAAAATTGACCTGCTGTTTTTAAAGTACCTACACGTGATGATGATCGAACCAATGAGGATTTAGGAAAAGGTAATTGTTTGTAAAAGCCTGAGAGTTTTCTTTTTTTCTTTCTTCAAAAAAGCTTCTTAACTCGTTTTTTATAAACAGTTCTTAAAGATCTACAACACAAACTTATTTTGCTTTACAAGGTAATAGATCGAGAGAAGAAACATATACTCTTTTTAGTTTCGAACCATTACAGCATAAACTATTTAACAAGCAATACATCATATGCTGATATTATAACGGTAAATACAGAAAAACAATGTGGAAAATATGTAATGAATTATCATCCTACCATTGGTATTGATGTATCGTTTGGGGCTTGTTACAGCCTCTTGTTTTTACTTTTGGTTAAGGTTTAATGAGATAACAAACAGGTACACGTTATATACTCCCTCAAATATCACAAGGATTCATATAAAAAGTAGATTTTGCGCGTTCTAGTGTTTCAATGATTTTGTTGCTATTTGTCGGCAAGGCAATCATATATTCATTTGTTTAATTAATGATTGTCGTGTAGAAAGTGTGACTTTTGGTCTTTGTGGAAACATTATATTTATAAAAAATAACGTGTTAAAAGCGATTGAAAACGACACTCGTGAATATGATCTGTTTTGTTTAGAGATACCAATGATGTCGTGTAGATGTACGTCAATCATGTGTTTATCAATTGACCATTTACAAGTGTATTTGCTATAGAGACATTGATGATTCGAGGGTTTCGCTTATAATCAGTATTACCGTAGGACATTAACATACCATACACATCTCTCCGATCCGGACCATTAAAGGGAGATATCTGTGAGCTGTCTCAACATTAACATGTGATAAGTCTTGGGTTTATGACACAGAACAATGTCAGAACAGACATACCGTTCTACACACTCTGTCGTATGTCTGATAATTATGGCCGATCATTTCCGATCATTTCCGATATGTGTTAAACGGGAGTTCTCAATTTGATTCCACCTTTTTTGCCCCTAGCATCAAAGATAAACGAATCAGATCCATGGCACAGTGCAATTTATTTTGGCATACTGCATACTGTAGAATCATTTACATTTTTGTGGGTTAAAATGTCGTGGTTTTCATCTACCAGCCTGTTTCAAGGACGTTATATTTCGCTAATTTCTGATTTTCCCCTATCTATATCATACCAAATTCATGTTTTTGCGGGATTTTTTTTTTTTTAATTTTTATTTTACAGTATATTACCAAGTTTTATAGGTTCAATCACAAGGTGTCTTCGTTTATCTTTGAGTTTAATGCATGTCTGGCACGGATTTCTCATTCAAATTAACTGTTTCAATATGTATTTGTTCCGTCATTATACATTATATATATTAGAGGAGACGGCTACAGCCCGTTAGAAGAAATAGTAGAAACCATTTGCATGTCACATGTTTGACACATTATAATAATCAAACTTCTAGGATTTTCAATAAAATCATGTATGGATGATGTGTTACATTGTAAAATAACATTTTAAAAAATAACATAATAAAACCTATATAACCCGGAATCAGAACATAATTGCAATCATTTGAAGGTATTGTTTACCCCAATACCTTAATACGTGTACATATATCTGACAAGTCCTCAGCCCAATCTGAGAATCTCACTAAATGTTGATTAATTAAGTGATCAAGCACGCGGGTGTAAATTAGCGATACATTAATTGACAGTCGAGATTGCACAGAGGGTATGATTTATGTGTTTGGGGGAGTTTTATAGCACCCTAAGGGGCGCGTGGAGGCGGCACGGCTGTGTGAGGACCAATCACAATAGCAATATGATCCTAAGAGAAATTGAAAGTCGATGGGAAACACATGTTGAAGGCGTTATAGTAGAGATCTATCAATTAGATTAAGTTGATAGATGTAACTAAATGTTCCATGATTAACTCAGGATCAGATAGTGAATGATATAGCATAAGTCTACAGTAACCTTGCAACAGACAGTGTCGGATTATACCAAAGTAGCTTCTGTTTCTCCTGACTTGGAAATATAGTGTAGTATCTATGCATCAACTTTCAATCTTATTTAAAGATTTGTTTTATGAACTACGATGTACTCTGATGTACTGTGTGGAGATAGTTAGGCGTTGAAGTATATCTGACGTTTCAGGTTAGACCGTGCATTAGATCAATGGAGTAATTACAGCGTAAATAGTAGTCGACACTACACTACGTTTGGTATCATCATTACATTAAGAAAAGTGCCAATTCATAGACCTATAGCATAAATCAATTACAAATTATGTAATGCAGAATGTTCGCTATTCTACAGATTTTAACTTATTGTTGAACCGATAATATGTCACGGTTATAGATGTTAAAGTATCGTAAGGACTCAATTTTACGATTTAATTCAACAAATTTCACTGACAAAACATCAATCAGAAAATCTATTCAAAATGCAAATCACCATTAATCGTACTATATTATGTTTACAAAGAAACTGCATTTTTTACTGAAGGTGTCTTTTTTCTGGTCGTGCTTTGACCATTCGCTAAACAATCCATTTATAATTAATATACATTACATATTCTGTCATATATAAAAACCACACAACACTTATATTAATACCTATACAATACATGTATAAAAGATAATACTGAACAAAACATACCCTACTCAATGATTATACAATTAACATCTAATGTATATACAGTCTGTAAACATAAGTACACTGTATCACATTAATAAATGTATTATATAATGCGACACTGTTACAACTCTACATTTATTATACAACGTTTATTAGCATTTCTTTTACAATACATATATGCCTATTTAGATACTTACAATACATATATGCCTATTAAGATACTTAAAATACATATATATCTACTTAGATACTTACAATACATATATGCCTATTTAGATACTTACAATACATATATACCTATTTAGATACTTACAATACATATATATCTACTTAGATACTTACAATACATATATGCCTATTTAGATACTTACAATACATATATACCTATTTAGATACTTACAATACATATATATCTACTTAGATACTTACAATACATATATGCCTATTTAGATACTTACAATACATATATACCTATTTAGATACTTACAATACATATATATCTACTTAGATACTTACAATACATATATGCCTATTTAGATACTTACAATACATATATACCTATTTAGATACTTACAATACATATATATCTACTTAGATACTTACAATACATATATGCCTATTTAGATACTTACAATACATATATACCTATTTAGATACTTACAATACATATATATCTACTTAGATACTTACAATACATATATGCCTATTTAGATACTTACAATACAT